GTAAGCTCAATTTTGGGGTGAAAATTCGAACAACAAAATGATAGCTTATTAGAAAGAGTTCGTTAAACATGTTCCTATCTCGCTGTGTTGGACATGCTTGACTTCTCCGTAGCAGCAAAAAACTTCACGTTGACAATAGCTAAGGGGCTAAAACAAGAGATCATAACTTGCCCAAAATTGTTAGATTTCGTTGATTTTGGTGTCCTTTGACTTAGTTCGACGAACTCTTTCAATTTTTGGAGACCTATATCTCCTACAGGCATTTCCCCAACTAGAGATTGTTACCGTTCACAATTCAACTCGTCGAGACGAATCGAACTGTATAGGTTTTAAATCGAAATTTTGCCTCCGCTATACATACTAATTTTTAATTTGTTTTACTCGTACTTGTACACAATAACGAACATCCAAACAATTATGTAATAGTTAAGTTGTTCATTTTGTTTGGGCAAAAACACCAATTCTTATTTTGAAATTTAATATGTATTTATACACGTACATATTAAGACGTGTTGATTGTCGATTTATTGAGCGAAAATTATAGAGAAGGTCCCTCTCCTCCTCTCTAATTTTTGCCTCATTGCCATTTAAAAATAGTTGATTAAAAATTTAATTAAAAATTGTATGCAATTAATAATTTAATTTAAAAATTTTATAAAAAAACTTAAAATACAGTAACGGCAATATGTTTATGCGGTAGAGTGTTACTGTTCGAATTATCACCAAAATACACTCAAAAATTAATCTCTCTTTCTGACTTACTTGGGGTATATTATATTATTCTTTATGAACTCTTGAATGATATATTTATTCCTTTTTTTAAATACCGAAAAAACTTCATTCGATTAAATAAAAATACCCAAAAATTTTGGCGGAAATATGTTTATGCAGTACATTTTATTTCTGCTTTAGGCCAGTTTTTATTTTATCACCGCGAAATTTTTGCGCCTTCAATACATCATGGTATGAGTTAGAAATAGTTTCGACATTTTCTATACGGTGCGCCGACAAACAAAAATATCAAACGGAAAGACCCGGTTCTTAAAATGCTCCGGACTTAGTTAAAACATAATTTTAGGGCTTCTCAGTTCAAGGTTATTGCATAAATATTAGTCGATTCTTCCGGATTCCGGATTTGCAACTTATGCCGGACCGGATCCGGCCGGATATTTCCGGATTAATCAGGTCCGGAAAAAATCCGGAGATCGCGAAAAACCCCGGATATTGGATCCGGACAAATCCCGCTGGATCCGGTCCGGTCTCACCAATATTTAAATATATATTGCCGGCACTGTAAGTAGAATAATTTAATCTTTTAACATATGTATACTATTTGATTTATGTAATCTAGTTAAAGTTAATTATTTAAATTAATTCATTTTAAGTAATGAGAATATTTTTATTATTTTATTTATTTTTATTTTTTGAAATAAAAATATATGAGTTGACTAATGGAATGGAGCATCAAAGAAATTGTTTGTTTTTCTATTTCAAATTTTTTATTTTACACTACGGAAAGTTTTGAGTATTTAAAAAAATTCGCCTTCGATGCATAAAAAGATGGATAAAAGAGATGGAGCCAATAATTTGAAACCTCTAGAGCCGGAGCTAATACCCCCCTCCAATACCCCCTGGCCTCAGGCTTTCTAAAATTCTCAAAATTTTCACCTTCGGCTATAAATAAAAAATTTTCGCTGCCTGATTTTTCCAATATTTCATTGATGCATTTTAATTGGATAAAATATGAATGGGACCTTCTGTGTGATAAATTTAGCCAAAACCGGTTTCGGTTAACCGAAACCGTGGGTCAGTCAGAAATCGAAAACTGGGGGTACCAGTTAATAACCGGTAGTGAACAACCCTAATAAATATTTTTTGGTAAGATTCATTATCTTGATAAATGATGGAAATTTCCCTGACAAATTCCTTAAAGATTTTAACAAGCGATTCATATTTTAAGGGCAAATAGAGGAAGGATCAAGCTCAAAAGTAAAACAAAAATTACCAAAAGGTTTGCCGCTCTATGTCTTGGATAATGGAATGTGGTCTGTTGCTAAAGAGTATGTAAATCTTATTGTATTAAAAAAGCTAGGAGAGGGTTGTCGGTTGTGGCACGAAACAAACCGAGGAACCGAGGATTTTCGTTTGTCCAGCCTGGATATCTTAAGCTTCTCTAAGAGTCGACACCCCCAGTTATGGGGATGTATTTATATGAAGAGAAACGATTTTTGCTCCTTTTCTGGGGAACTTTTAATGCAAACAAGGTATACATAGAATGAAAGGATTGCTTGGACATTTGAATATTTTACATAATTTTGCTTTGTTATTTAGTAGAGTTGCACCCCGACCCCGTACCTTATTCCCGAAAGAATAAGGTACGGGTTTAGTGGAGGTAGATGGACAATCTAAACTTTTAAAAGTACATCCTGTAGATATCCGAAAATTCTTTCAAGTTGGGGAAGTAGTTAGTGTTAAATTGGACGACCAAAAATTTGTTCAAGCAACTGTAGAAAATGGAATAAATAAACATAATATGTACAGATTGGCTGTGAAGAGTGTTGATGGGGATTATATGTTTATTGAAAGTTATCCTGTTGATATTGAACATATTTTTTAAGAAACTAGGAGAATTTCAACTTCAAAAGTAGAAGTCACAAAAAAATTCTGGCCAACGATTATATTCAAATATAAATTTTCATTTAATTTTATTTAAAATATTTAAAACTAGGATTGTTCATAACCGGTTTTAAGATTTTAAAACCTGAATTTTTGAGATTTTTTGCAAAAAATAAACCGTTTGTATGAAATTTTAAAAACCGGAAATTCATAAAAATGAGTGATTTTTTGAAAAATTCCCCAAAATTAAACCGGTGTCCAAAACTAAAACCGAAAACCGGGTTTTTAAAATTTGGATTAACCTAAAACCTGGTTAATAACCGGTAGTGAACAACCATACATATTTGAAACTAAAAATTATTCTCTCCTCCAATTTAAAATTATCATTTTTATTTAATTATTTAACACAAAGCTATCCTATATTCAAAATTTCTAACGTACTACCTGCACCCCATTTTATATAAAAATTACACAATTTAACTGAATTCTTTTAAACAATGTTTAAAATTAATTCTGATTTTTATTAATTTAATTTTCACCTGTAAATTAAGAAAGAATTTAAAGGCAAGATAAATATTATTTAATATAAGTGGTATATTTAAATTAAAAATTCTAACAATAATTATTAAAAGTTGGCAGTTTAAAGTTAAACAATCTGCTTTTGATAATTATTTCCAAGAAAATAAAATTTTTGTTTGTCTTTTAAAGGGCATTAAATAAATGGCAGGTGAAAATTTTAAAATTAATTAGACGACTTTTTCTTTTAAATAATAAAAAAATTTCAAATGAAACAATTTAAAGAAAATATTTCGCTACACATTTTAATTTTTAAAAGTACAAAATGTCCAATTTAATTGATATTTTATTTAAATTTGATTATTGGGCAAGTTTATTACTTGGTTATCCTCTAAACATTATTCTGATTATTTTAATTATTTTTACAACACCAGAAGAAATGAAAGCACACAGTCGAATTCTGATACAAAATTGTGTTTTAGATATTTTATTATTAACATTTCAAATGTTTCTTCAAATGGTGAAACCTTTATAAAATCAGATTTAAGTTAAAAAAATCAGAATTAATTTAAAACAAAATCAGAATTAAGTTAAAAAAAATCAGAATTAATTTAAAACAAAATCAGAATTAAGTTAAAAAAAATCAGAATTAAGTTAAAAAAAATCAGAATTAAGTTAAAAAAATCAGAATTAATTTAAAACAAAATCAGAATTAAGTTAAAAAAAATCAGAATTAATTTAAAACAAAATCAGAATTAAGTTAAAAAAATCAGAATTAAGTTAAAAAAATCAGAATTAAGTTAAAAAAAATCAGAATTAAGTTAAAAAAAAATCAGAATTAAGTTAAAAAAATCAGAATTAATTTAAAACAAAATCAGAATTAAGTTTAAACTTTAAGATTTATCTAAGTGACAGCAATGGGAATTCTATTTTTATTTTTACTAACGGCATTTTTATTGAATTTATGAAAGATAATTGTATCAAAATTATTTACTTGAGCTATTTATTTATCCTACAGTCGTTTTTCATGATTAATTTGTATGGATTGTGTGCCCAATTTGTTTACAGATATTTAATTCTGAACAGGTAAAACAAAACAAAATCAGAATTAATTTAAAACAAAATCAGAATTAATTTAAAACAAAATCAGAATTAATTTAAAACAAAATCAGAATTAATTTAAAACAAAATCAGAATTAATTTAAAACAAAATCAGAATTAATTTAAAACAAAATCAGAATTAATTTAAAACAAAATCAGAATTAATTTAAAACAAAATCAGAATTAATTTAAAACAAAATCAGAATTAATTTAAAACAAAATCAGAATTAATTTAAAACAAAATCAGAATTAATTTAAAACAAAATCAGAATTAATTTAAAACAAAATCAGAATTAATTTAAAACAAAATCAGAATTAATTTAAAACAAAATCAGAATTAATTTAAAACAAAATCAGAATTAATTTAAAACAAAATCAGAATTAATTTAAAACAAAATCAGAATTAATTTAAAACAAAACATAAATTTATAGAAATATGAAGACAAGTTTTAAACGTTATTTATATATATTTTCAATTATGCTGCCTGCTGTTTTGCTTTATAATTTGATTTTTATTTTCACCGCTCCATATGATGGAGGGATTAAACAATTTGATGAATTAAACAAAACTTTGCCTTTTGTTTCTACTAAAGTACAGGTATCCCAATTATATTTTATCGCTGGTTTTCGTTCCCCGATTTTCATAGTATTCTCCAAAAATCTGGGTTATCGGTACCGGTTCAGTTAACCGTTTGTGTCCAAACATACTTCTAATGAAATTTATTTTTAAATGAAAGGACTTTCCACCATTAATTGTAACTTTTATTATGCTGTTTCCATTTGTTATAATTTTTATTTGTGGATTTAAAATGGTTTATTATGTTAATTCACATACTGGATTTAGTCAAAATTTGAAGAGATTACTTAAACAATTGACAAAAACTTTGATAATTTTGGTATATAAATTAATTTAATTTTATTTAAACTTAAATTTCAGGTAATTATACCATTTATCAATCAAGTATTACCTATATTAACTGTGTTAGTTACTTTAAATAAAACAAATGATTCATCTAAAGATAATGATATAAATCCAATTTATATATTTCTTGCAATTTTCACTCATTTTACACCTGTTTTTAACCCAATTGTTTGTATAATAACTAATAAGCCATACAAAGAAGCTGTTTTTAATCGTTTAAAAATACATCCACAATGATTTCTGTATTTTATGTTATTGTAGTAGTTAATTAAAAAATGAATAAAGATGCTTTGTTCCTATTTTATTTTTTTAAACACGCCCTTTATCTGAAATAAAACTGACAGTTCAATAATAGAAAAATTACTTTTAAGAAAGACGGGTGTTATAGAACTTTCAACTATTCCCTTTACTTCTCGATGCTCTCTTCGAACTTAATTTATAAATAATAATTAAATTTAGTTTATTTGTTAACACGTATTTAGAAGAGCCCCGTTTTTTAAAAATTTTAGAGGTGTGAATGTAATAGTTAGTTCAATAAAAGAAAAATTTAATTATTAATTAAACTAATTAAACTATAGCTTGTAAAACGCAAGTTTCTGAATTTAAACCTAAAAATTTTTCCCGAATCTTGAAATATTTTTCCTATACTACAAATAATTCTATAAAACATTTAAAAAACTAACAATCTCTTTCATGTTGCCTTCCATCCATTAATAAAGTTTGATCTATTAGAAAAACCAAAAGAAAAAGTAATAGAAATACCTTCATGTTTTAATACAAAGAAAATGTATCCAATCCCTCGGTTTTTAAATTTTTTAATTAGAAAAATAGCAATGAATGGGTAATATTATAAGAAGGCTGTCTTAAATGCTGACGGCATTATAAAATAAAATTTTAATTAGAAATAAAGACTCAACTTTGGGACAGGCGTCCCATGAGCTTTAAGGATTCCTTCAAAGATATATGTAGGTATTACCTACCCTATCATATAAGGGTAGGTGGTCCAAGAATGGGAAATAGTCGACAGCTCATATGAATGTGGGTAAGTGGAAAGAGGGGATGATTGACTGCTCATATTAAGGTTGTTAAGCCAATGGATTAATTCTTAGGCATCTCATACATATGTATGAAAGTAGTTAAGCCAAAAAGATCGAAGAAGAGGTTATGTCGACAGCTCTTATAAAGGTAGTGAATAAAAGAAGATATACGACATAAATGAAAGATTTGCCCTTTCATTTTTACCCTCATCTCTAAAATATAAATTTTAAATATTGCTATAGTTTATTGGGATTTCTTAGTTGTTAAACATACATATGTGTAAATTAAGATAATTTTTGATTTAATATCCTCAAAAATTAAAAAAAAACCTTCAAGTTTATCTTAGTATATACTTCCAAGTCAAGTTTCAATGTTATTTTCATTTGAATTCGGCGATTTTGAAAAACATTTTTATTTTAGAAAAATTTTTTTACGAAAAAACTTAGTATTAAACACGGTAACTACTAATGAGCAATATTAAGTTTATCTAAACAGTCCGAAATCTTCAGTTAGAAAAGCCACATTCGGGTTTTAAAAATTTTCTTTTGTTCGGGTTTAAGGCCTAAACATGTCCCAGTTTTAAGTTTTGGGTCAGCTCTTAAATAAAAATGGTAAGGAAGAGAATAATATTAATTCTACTTCACACAAGATCAAATCTTACCAGAAGACTCAAGACAGCTTAATTAACAAGACCTAGTGAAATAAAAAAAGGATTATGAAATTTCATTGACTATAAAGAAATTTATGACAAAAACAAAAAGGGCGGCAAAGTTGTCGCACACTGAAATCTAATAATAAAATTTGAACTAAAATTTATTTTTTTAGATAAATTAAACAATTTATCAATCAAACATTAAAATATTAGAAATGAATTTATTCATTATCTTTTTATTGGCATTTTGTTTAATAGACAAATTGCAAATGTCTGATGGAATGCAACATTTGATGGGTTAGATTTTTTGTTTTTCAGAGTTTTAGGTTTTAAAAACCTTAAAATTTGACCTAAATTGATGGCAAAAAATTCAAAATCGTCTTCAATGAGTAACAATAATATTATAACATTCAGGAGTAAGGTTATATCCTAGAAATCCTATCAATACTAATTAAAAGATTTAGGCTTTTTAGACACTAAAAATCTAAGCAATTTTTTAAAGATTTTTTTCAGATCTCTATGAATCTGAAAAAAGAGATCTGAAAATAAGCAATCTTCAGATTTCTATGGAGGTATACTGGAACTTTGTTTCTTTTGTTTTTCTATTCATGTCAATAGATTAGTTTATATGAATTTTTGTAGATTTTTTTAACAACCTTAATGTCAATACTTGGGGTGGTCTTAAAGTTTTCTTGACGGTGTTTGTATTTAAATTCGATTAAGTTTGCTCCTTAACTAGCTAAGTTGGATGACCTTGCTTTGTTTATAGTGTTTTAAATTGATACAATAAATTATAAAGGCCGTACTAAAGGAAAACAACAAATTGAAGGCTCATCAAGAGGAAAAGGAAAAGAGACTGCTCCAGCACCTGAATTTCCTGAATTGAATTTTTCTTTGATTGAATTGACCATTTTGGTACAAATATTACGTAATATTGAGTTTACAACAATTATAAGTAATCCAGAAGTAGATTTACATATAATAATTAATCATTACAAGGATAAATATATTTCTGGATTTTATGATGAAAATTTAATTAATTCTCAAGTTGTACACGAAACAGTTCGTAAATTAAATCAGGTAATTTTGAAAATAAGTGGGAGTTTTGGCTGTACTTTAGCCGGTGGCCCACTCAGAAACGGGACAAATGATATACCATTCGATTCGTCTCGGCGAGCTGAGTCGAATGGTACCATTCTTTTTTTTTGCGGAAATGCCTATGAGCCGAGATATAGTTCCTTGAAAACCGAAAAACCATAGGGGGGAGTAAGCACAATTTTGGGGTGAAAAATTCGATTTTTTAAATGATAGCTCATTCGAAAGAGCTCGACGAGCTGAGTCGAATGACACCAAAATCACCGTGATTGAGTAAGTTTAGACAAAGTTACAACACAAAAAACAATCAACATAAACCTATGGTACCATTCGACTCAGCTCGCCGAGACGAATCGAATGGTATATAATTTGTCCCGTTTCTGAGTGGGCCACCGGCTAAAGTATATCCGGAGTTATCTGTGTAAAAAATCATTTTATTCCTATCATTTTATTCCATTTTCTGAAAAAAATATTGACAAACTTTAAAATAGTTTATTTAGCATTATTATATACCAATCGTTTTATTAAGAAGGGAAGTTTGGCTAACAATTATCATGTCTAGTTATTGGTTACATTACAATGGTAGTCTAACTCGTGGACTATACATTTAACACATAATTTAATGACTCAAGAAAATTACAAGAAAGAGAAAAATTTATAAAAATTAAAAGGTGTGAAATTAATTTTCGCAAAATGCCTTTTGCGGAAATATAGACCACGAGCTTGACAAAAATCAAAGCAATTCTTAAATTATGTATTTAAAATTGTATTTACAGATAAAGACTTTTTTCGTTCCGGTAAGATTTTCTATGATTCTAGACTTCCTAATCAATCCCTTTATATAAAAACTAATTTCCTTAAATTTAAAGGTTATATTTTACTACACCTGTCTGTTAAATGAATTAATTCCTGTTTATCGCAATGCTAAAGAAGCTAAAATCGAACTTATTGTGAATAGAATGAAAGATTTAAGTTTAACAATGGATATAGATAAATATAAGTTTTTGATATCTGAAAAATTCAAATTTAAGAAAGCTTTAAAAGACTGTGATAATGATCCTAACATCTCAGCTGATAAATTGTACAATAATGCTATGTCATTTTTGTCTGGAAAAGGGTAATAATTAACTGATCTAATATTTTAATTTATATTTAGTATAACAGCAATAACCCAAATATCAGGCCATGTGAGAAAAATAAAAGATTCAGAAAAAAATATTTTCATTATTTGGCATTTATTTGCTTTTGCTAGAAGGATAATTCATTCATTTAGATTGTTTTATAAAGAAAATCCAAATTATTATGATAATATTTTGTTGAATTTTTGGCAATTGATGAGAGATAATGGATATAGTGATTTTTTACAGTTTGTCTTTACTTATTAAATTTAAATTTAAAATTATCTAATTTAGAGAGAAGATTTCAATTCTAAGCTATATTAAAGCTTATGATGAATTGGAAATTAAAGCAAATAATTGGATGGAAATACTGAAACAATTGAGCATTTTCCAAAGAGAAAATGTTTATTTTGAATATAGAGGAATTAAATATAGTAAGTGTTGGGTATGTGCTTAGTATAAAAGGCTGCGGCTTTAGCCATTCGTGGGTTAGTGTTTGTTAGTGTTATTCTTAGTCGTATTCTAGTGCTCCACATATTCGGCGTCGGCCATATTCCTATTGTTTGCTACGATTGTATTTAGTCTTGTAGATAAAACACAGTCGTTAGTTACTGTCTTATCTGTTATTCTTGTTGATACGTAGACATAGATGTCACGTACATAACAGTAAGAAATAAGTAAAAGTAAAACAAATTTTTTTTAATTTTTAGCAAGGGAAAGAATGTTATTGTCTCTTCAAGAAGCGGAAAAGAGTCAAGAAAACATAATATTTCCAGCCACTTTTATGCCTGACACTATGATTGTGCAAACACATTTCCGTTTATTATATCTTCATTTTGGTAATTATTTTAAAACAACGTTTATAGTCTGATATAAAAAATTTTACTGACCTCTCATAAATAATCAAAAAAAAATCTGTAAAATTTTAGCAACTGATGGCATATTAACAACCAATGAATGCTACACAATTTTCGGAAAATATAATTCAAATACTCAACAAACATTTTATCAATTATTTGAAGGTTTGGACAACGAAATTCAGAAAAAACTTGAACAAATAATTATTAACCCTTTTTTGGTTAATGAAATGAGTTTAAATCAAGAGGATTATTTACAAGAAAATACTCAATATATTGTGTATGACCGAGTAATGCCGATTCAGAAACGTCATGGGCTTGTTCATTTTGTATGGATTTTGTCTAAATTTAATTAAAAAATTAAAAGAAATATTTTTAGATTCTAGACTGTTGCAATTCTATAGTGAATCAAGGGAATTATTGAGGAAAAATTCAAATTCAGAAAATTTAGAAGATAACAATTTTATTTTTTTTGCCTGGGATGGGATACATATGCAACAGCATACATATTTATCTTCATACTTTAAAGGAAAACTAAAAATTTTTTTGTCAAAACTCCTACGCTCTGTCAGAAAATGATAAGCACCCCTTAGTGATTACGTAAAAAACATATTTAATTTTAAAGTATCATGATTTTAAAATTTTTTATGAATTTCAATTCATTTTCGAAAGAAAAAAACAATCAGACATAAAATATTTATGGGTAGTGAAAAGCTCTTAGCTAAAACTAAGGAGTGATTATTATTTTTTGACAGGGTATACATTTCATTATCTAAATTAAACAATTACCCTCTTTATATTAAAAACATCCAGTATGTTACTGGCATTTAAAGTGTTCAATAAGTCGGATTTAGCGGTCTTGGTAGGAAACACTAATTATTTTTTAAACAATTTTCCTTTATTTATTTTTTATTGGTTTTTTATCTTTTAGGTTAATTTCTGTTTTATTTAAAATTTTTTTTTGTATGGGAGCCTTCTTATTGGGAGGCATCCTTCTTATTAGTATTTTTGGGAGATTTTTTGGTTTTTACGTTTAAAAATATATTCCCATTTTATTCATCTCTGATAACTTTTTTATCAAAAAAGGAAAAATTTTACAACTAATAAATATAATAGAGGTATATCTGGGCCTATTTTAACAATGAGTTAAAGCTCTGAACATTAATTACGTTTTAACTCAAATTTAAATTAATTTTTCCTTTTGATAGAAAATCCTGTAAAATTTCTTTAACAAAATTAAACAATTCCCCTTTTTATAGTAAAAGTAAAACCTTCATAAAAACTTCCAGTATATTACTGGAATTTAAAGTGTTCAATGAGGCCGATTTAGCGGTCTTGGTAGGAAACACTAATTTATTTTTATTTTTTATATTTATTATTAAATTATTTTTCAAACAAATTTCGATAAATTGAAGAAAATTGTTTTAATTTTTATTATTGGTTTAAGTTTTTTATAATACTTGGGTAAGAGTATAATTACGAATTTTGTCCTTCAAACAATACATAAATAAACCAATAACATATTTCAAAAATTAAAAGTTGACTTACTGTTAGGACAACTTAATTTCATTTGTATTCCTGTAAGTGATAAATTGTTACTTTAGTTTTCGTTGGCTTTGGCTAACCTCGGACAACATTTGGTGACAACATAGCATCCTAAAAGGATAGATTGCCGACAATTCACTCAACGATTGGGGTATTAGAGGGCATCGTCAGGGCTCTTATAAAATAATGAGAGGGGATGTCGATAGCTAATATGAAAGTCAAAGTTCTAGGATCCCCACGTATAAACAATTTCTTTTTAGATTTAATTTATGCATCCCATAAAAATTTATGAGTCCAAAAATAATTTATGCGTCCCATAAAATGAATTGGGAAAATATTCAAAAATTAAAAAATAGCATTTAACATTTATACTATATTTGATTAACAAAAAAGTAATCGACAAGGGTAAGTTCATTTGTTTTCACATTTGAGTCAAATAAAAATAAAGAATTTATATTTGCCCTTACGAGACTGTTTGATCTTTGTGCCGTGAGTATTTAAAAATTAAAAGTATTTTGTTAATTTAATGAGTTCTCACAATCAAAACAAATGTTTTGCAAGTCTGGTCTGTTCCAGATTTCTCCTACATTTTGGAGAAGGAATTCATTATTAAAATTATTGAGGTAGATTAAAAACGACGGTCATCTTTCATGCGCTTATAAATGGAAAATTTACACGCACTAGTTTTCATCATTATACATCTTATATTTTTTCAATTCATTTCACGGGACGCATAAATTTTCATGGGACGCAAAAACTGGACAAGAGCTAAATTTTTATTCAAAAAAATAAAAAATAAGAGAAATATAAAATTTGAATTCTTCGCGTCAACAAATAAAAAACATATAGTAGTTAGTCAAGTCTAATTTTTAAATTTCCAGAGACGAAACTGAAAGATAGTCACAACCATTTTGGAAAAATTTTGGTGAATTTAACGTTATTTTTTCCAAAAACATCGACAAACTTAGCCAACAAAATATGCATCATGCATCAAAATCCAAAATGGGCAAAAATATGCATTATTTGCAAATAGTTCTCCTCTCTAAAGTTTTCAAACCAAGTGGGAATTGTGTTTTTTGTGCAATATACGTCGTGACAAGTTTGCAAAAAATATGTATTTGATTAAAAATTACAGCTCTAATCATATGAAAATAAAAAGTCTCAATAGATATAAAAAATTGCACATTTTAAAACAATTTTCATCATTTTATCGACAGTTTTAATAAAACAATTTAATGATAAATATCAAAAAGTAAAAAAAAACTACTTTCAGAATAAGAGACAGAAATTTATCAAAAAAATAAAAAAAAATAATGGGGAATAAAAACTACATTTAGCGTTTCCTACCAAGACCGCTAAATCGGCCTTATTGAACACTTTAAATTCCAGTAATATACTGGATGTTTTTAATACATGGAGAGGTGGGATAGTTCAATTTACTAGTTGGTGAAGTGTCTAAAAAATGAAGAAATTAAAAAAAAAACAAAGTTAAATTAGAGATAAAATCTTAATGATTACTTAGGGCTTTAACTCCGAAAATTAAATAAAAATGAAGAAAGCTCGATTAACCTCTAATTTAACTTTTTGTTAAATTCTTATCTGTTTTTGGTACATATCCGTTATACGCCCACAAACTTAATGCCAGCCGATTTGATCGGTTATAAGTTTTCGAAGCCTGACCCAATAATATGAATATTATATTATTCGGAAGCCCACGATTAGCGGTACCTACTTTCCAAAGTGATGGGTTTAATCACTCGTTAAAAAGTAATTAAAAGAATTAAAAAGTAACACCGAATAACATATCGGTCGGGTTATATTTTATTAATGATTAGACTTGATCTATCTTATTTAAAAAAGATACAGGTTGTCGAGTGCTTTAGAATATAAAATTCAATTGTTTGTGGGCATTCAGTTTGTGGACATATACGCATATGTACCCTGTTTTTCTATCAAATATCAAACTCATAACTCAAATTAGTTCTCACCGGAATTTCCCATCCTCCATGTTTCAGTCACTAAATTCCCCTTCTTCCTTTGCATCCAAATCTTCTTCACCATGATAACCCGAACCTCCGTGGATTCCCACATCTCCTTCGGCATGCCCCATGTTGTAGTCTCCATGTCCAGTGTATTGTTCGTGTCCATGTCCAATATATTGTTGGTGTCCTGTATAATCCCCAAAACCTTGTTGATATCCATAAATATGTTGGTTTCCATAGCCTGTCTGATATCCATAGTTTTGCTGCTGATGTCCACTATATTCACCATGTTTCAGGTATCCACGATTACTTTGTCTGTCCTGTCCTGAAGAACTTCCTTGTCCATAATTATGTCCAAATCCCCAATTGGAAGTATCCCAGTGTTCACCACACATTTTTTTAATCTTAAAATTATCAAAATTAGCTAGCAAATATTATTTTAGTTTATTATTTAAAAAATAAAATAATTTTTTAAAACATTTTCGATAATCATTTGATGTATTTCATCAACGCTTTCCTTATTTTTACGGCTGAGTATGTTACTGTAAAAACCATTAAAGAGGTATTTTTGTTTTCCTTCATCATCCAACAAAATTTTTATTGTAATTCTGTTAATTTTTTCCACCAACCCCTTCTGTCTATCTTCCATATTATAGTAGAACAAATTAAAATCATTAGAAATATTCAATACTTCTTCAATTAAATTGCAGTTATATCTGCCCAGTTTTTCATTGGATACTTTAAAAATATTTTTGAAAATATGATACGAGTAATTGTGTTTATTTGACAATTAATTTTGTTTATTTTTCATTTTTCTAAATTTTGACTACGGGATCATAGGACTGCGATTTACAGAACTCTACAATAAAACATACCATAATTTTTAAAAAGTAAAGGAAGAAATTCTTCCACTTGAATTTCAGAATCTAAAGAAATATTTGTTGGATATTCATTGCTCTCATCCTACTCCTTTTTTCAAGCTACTCCTTTTTTCATTCCTACTCCTTTTTTCATCTAAAAAAATCAATCAATAAAAAGTAAATAAAATGCTCCCATTAAAAAATAAGAAAAAACCAAACAAACGACCTAAAATTACAAAGTCGTTTGAAAGTTCGTCTAGTATTGACTCAACTCAAATTTCACAAGAACAAATTATTTGTATTTCAAAGTGTGTGGTTGAATTTTTGAAGCCTACTATCGAACAAATTGTTCGATCAATTATCCAAGAAATTATTCCAAATTTTAATAATACCACAACAACTACAAACAACAGCCAACCTTGGGGATCACACCCCTTTTCTAACAATAATTTCGAACCTCCACTACAACATTTTATTGATATTTCAAATTACAACACTTCACACCAAGAAACCATAATTAATAAATCAAAAACTGCAGTGGTTGAAAAATTTCCAGAATCTGATGGAGACAACAATCTTTTACGTGAAATTGTGAATGATTGTAGTCTGGTAGAGGAGTTGGATGAGAAGGAAATTCATCGACATGCTGGTAAACGTGAGGCAAATGTTTTAAAACCAAAAATTTATAAAATTCATTTCAAATCCTCACAATCACGTGACAAATTTTTAAAAACATTTCGTAAAGTTGTTAAATCCAATCCTCAAAAATATCCCCAACAATCATTTTGTCGTAGAGATATGTCTCCTCCTGAGCTCAAATTATTATATTCACTAAGAAAACAAGCTTATGAGTTAAATAAAAACCTTAATTTATATAAATTTATTGTCGTTGATTTAAAAATTATGGAATTGTCCAATCCAAGACCACTTCGTACAAGACAGGCATAGGTAAAATTAAGCAATCACAAACCTAACTCGACTCATAAACCTAATTTGACTTTAAATAATATTCCCTGTATTTTTTTAAATGCTAGATCTATTGTGAATAAAATCTCAGATTTAAGTTTCCTTGTTGAAAAAACCTCGCCTAAAATAATTTTTATAAATGAGACCTGGATTAGCGCGGAAAAAATATTGAAACAGAATTATCCATCAATAACAGATATGATGTTATTTTAGCCAACAGAAAAACGCGCGGGGGTGGGTGCGCAATTTTAATATCAAGAGAGATTCCTTTTAAAACCATTTTATCTTGTTCCAAATATCAGTGTGAACTTATCAATATCAACCTGTTCTTACCCAAAAAATAAATATTTTTCTGATATACCGTCCTCCAAATTGTTCATTAGAGAACACAAAAAAGATTTTAAAATTTTTATATGAGAATATTGAGAATAAATTTATTTTATGTGGTGATATGAACATACCCAATATTAACTGGGTTGATTATTCATTTAATTGCCAAAAAGGTAAAATATTGTTAGATTTTATGTTTCAGACAAATTCCACACAACACGTTACAGAATTTACTAGACTTAGATCCACATTAGATTTAATATTCTCTTCCCCATCCAATTTATTGAGCAATGTAAAAATTACTGAAAACTTTTCAAACTCTGACCATAATATGATAACTTTTAATATAAATTCCTCAATACCGTTTAATAGGCATAAAAAAAGGTTTACAAAAGGCAATTAACTGAAAACAATTTCTCAATTTTAAATGAGAAATATGCAAATTACAAATGGACAGATCAACTCTCTTTTTACTTTACCGTTAATTCTAAATACAATGCTTTTACTGATACTATGCTATACCTTTTCGATTCAGTAATGCCTTTAAAACCCTTAAATAATATCATCAAAGAAAATTATCCAAAAAGAATAACTGAGTTATCAAGAAACAAGCTTAAATTATTCAAGGAATCAAAAAAAGACCCGGATAACAATGAAATCCAACTTAAGTATAAAATAATATCAAGACAGTTAAGAAAAATAACTAGAGATTATTACACAGAAAAGGATAAGAAAATTGTGTCTAAAGGCAGATCCTCAGTCTATAAGTATTTTAAGAATAAACTAAAACCTGTAATACAGGTACCCACACTTTTCGACAAAAATGGAGAAATATGTCTATCAGATAAAGCTAAAAGTAATGCTATGGGTATAACCTTTCAGAAAGCCTTTAATAAGAAAAATTCAGAACTAGTTATAGGATCTAATTTTACTAAATCTGATGATAAAATTGAAGATATTCAATTTAATATATTAGATATTTTCAAACTTCTTAGAAACTCCCCAATAAAAACTCTACCTCACCAGACTCCGTACCTTATATACTATTAAAAAAATGTGCTTTTACACTATCTCATATCATAACTGAATTATTTAGATTAATTCTTGACGAAGGTGAAATACCTGAAATCTGGAAACATTCTATAGTTATCCCGATCTTTAAGAAAGTTGATAAAACTATAACTGACAATTATAGACCCATCGCACTTACATGCACTCTCTGTAGAACTTTCGAAAGATTACTAGCAAATAAACTAATAGAGTTTCTTAGAAACAAAGATTTTTTCAGTACTGAACAATTTGGTTTCCTTAAACAGTGTTCAACTGTAACGCAACTCCTTACCATGTTAAACCAAATTTATTCTTGTGTAGATAGAGGCAATAAAGTTGATATAGTATATATTGACTTTAAAAAAGCCTTTGACACTGTCCCTATTGAACTATTGATACAAAAAGTTAAATACATTGGAATTGATGGAAAAATACTCAAATTTTTAAGTAATTTTTTGAACAATAGAAAGTTCAAAGTCCGAATTGAGCAAGACTTTTCTGAAGAATATCCCATTCATTCTGGTGTTCCTCAAGGTAGTGTACTTGGCCCTTTGTTATTTGTAATATTTATTAACGATTTACCTGAACATCTGCCTAAGGGTGTTAATGTTAAAATATATGCTGATGATATTAAACAGTATGTAGAACATAACAATGATAACAATAGAAATAAGCTTATAGAATCTCTTTTAATAATTGAAAAATGGGCTAAAAATAATGGATTAAGTATTTCTATAGATAAATGCGTCTGCCTCTACATAGGTAAGAATAATAATAAGCAACAATATTTTATAGATGGACAACCAATCAAGAAAGAGAATTGTGTTCGCGATCTTGGAGTATTAATAGACACAGATCTATCCTTTTCTGCACATATAACTAAAATTACAAAACAAGCCTATTCAATGATGTATCAAATATTTAGAATATTTAAATCCAAGGATCTTGATAATTTAGTTTTTGTATTCAAAACATATTTGCGTCCTCTCTTAGAGTACGCGACTGAAATTTGGAGTCCCTTAAGAAAAGATCACTTAATTTCCCTTGAAAAAATTCAAAAAATCTTTACCAAAAAAGCCTTTAAACCAGGGCTCTCATCGACAAAATGCCAATCAAAAGTACAAAAATCTTGATTTTAAAGTACATAGGGACAAAATTTTCAAATTTAAAGTACACTCAAAATTAAATTCGAAAATATTTATTCGTGCTCAAATCTTTTATATTTCTCTCCTAAATGAATCTTTTCTAATAATTTCTTGCTTCCACTGAGCATTTTGTGCATTTCAATGCATGACATGTCAAAATTCGCTGACACATGAAGTAAAGCCTGACAGTCTTAACCTCAAGCAAGCTACTTTCTTTCGTCCATTTTCAGCGCCGCAGGCGAAAATTTTGAGAATTTTAGAGCTCAAGAAGCCATATTTCTTCCATTTTTAGCGCCGCAGGCGAAAATTTTTAAAATTTTAGAAGGCCGTAGGCAAAAAAATTCACTTTTTCAGCAGCGCAGGCGAAAATTTTTTGAAATTTGGAGCCCAAGAAGCCAGATTTCTTCCTTTTTCAGCGCCGCAGGCGAAAATTTTGAGAATTTCGAAGGCCATAGGCCAAATAAATTACTTTTTTGCCCAATCCCTTCCCCAATTTCATTTTCAATCTAAAATGTTGATTTTAAAGTACATACTTTCAATAAAGTACAAATTCAATTTTGTAAGTACGGAGGTCGATTTTAAAGTACTGTACTTTCAAATAAAGTACGAATGAGAGCCCTGCTTTAAACAATGCGGATTAGTTGATAAACCTTATGAAATTAGACTACAAATTTGTAAATTAAAAAAATTAGAGGAAAGAAGAGTACTTGCCGATCTTTGCACGACTTATAAAATACTTAATAATTTCACACATTTGGAACAAGAAAAATACTTTACTCTAACTAAAAGGGCCAAAAGAAGAATTCATCTTTTACAAAATAAAAGATTCACTAGCAAGTCAAAAAATAACTTCTTTGCTCGCATAGTCTCCTTATGGAACAAATTACCTAGGGAAATTGTTGAGATTAGAGATTTAAAAAAATTCAGGGAATATACCAAAAGAATTGATTTACTTAGTCTGTCTGGTACATAGTGTCTTAAATTTTTTTTTCCTTTTATATATACAAAATATTCGTTTTTAACATTTTTTTTTACTTAATTTTATTTTTTTCAATTTATTGTTTCACAACTTACACATATTTTATTTTTTACAATCATTGTCAGTGTACTTTTATTTGTACCTGTGATTGCTGAATAAATATTAAAAAAAAAAGTAAAGATGGCAAATAATTGTTTCCTAAATTTTAATTTGTTTAAAGACAAAAGTAAAAATAGAAAATTAGAAGATTATTAATGGTCGCTAGAATGTGAACAGAAAATTTTGCCGCCCCCTACTCATAACATTAAGTATTAGTCCAGCCAGATTTCTTTTTTTTCTAGCACCACAATTAAAAATTTGTAAAAATTATCAAAATTTAACCTGTTTCTTTCAATTTATTTGAGAACTTTTCAAGATTATTGTAACAGTAAACATAAATCAGAATCGACAAAACACTCCTAATTTGGTATTTTTTAAATATTTCATTAAAATACTTACGGTTCTTTGCCTATTTTTTCAGTATACTTAATTACCATATCATTGTAGTAATTTTTATTGTATGGGTAAAATTTAATAAACAAACGAATTAAATGTTGAATTAATTTAATTAAATTCCAAACAATAAATATATTTCGTTCAAGATTTGGTGGATTTGGATTTGAAAAATGAGTGGAGAGTAAAAAGAGTTCCTCATTACTTAATTTATATTAATTAAAATTAATTAAGTTCCGAACATTTGAGGGCTAATAATTTGAGTATTATTAGACACAGAAAATTTTAATTTTAATTGCCAAAAAAGTTTCAAAATTTTGTTTAATCCCTAAAAATCAATATACAGTGGCGGGAATTTAAATAGTGAAAAATATTATATTTAGTTTTTTATGGAAAATCAATATATAAAAAATTTGAAAAAATTTCTGGGAGCTTCTCTATCAATATGATGAATAATGGCAAAAAATCTTAATGTTAACCCAACTCCATCATCGAGATCTCGAGGTCCAAAATCAACGGAAAATTGGGGTGATTTGTGGGTGATCTATTTTACAAAAGAATTTTGGTCCATCTGACCCAGATAAAATTCTTCTTTCTTGATCATCATAGAGCCCATAAAATTTGCTACAATTTAGACTATGTCATTTCTTCAAAAAATTCTTTTTCCGAGATATAGGCT